TCATAGCTTTGGCCTACTTTATTATTTCCCTTGAATTTATTACTGGATCCCTGTATATTTATAGTGAGAATCCTACTATAACGGGCATTTCGCACAAGTGCCCTCCCTCTCATTATAACAGGATTCCAATTCCACAGTACACAAGAAAGACAAAACCAGAAATGTTGGACGTACTTGTGACGATCCCGGGAGCCTAGTGGCTTGTTGCTCCGGAGAACCAGGTCACTGGGCAAGCAACTGCCGAAGAAGAACACGACGCAACACACCACTACCAGGAGACCAACCACAACCATAGAACTGGTTGCCCAACAGCCATCAGAGTTCACCGGGGAATAGATGGTACCAGTAACTTTTTTTCCCCTCTCCTCTCAGAGTCGGCTTACAATAACCACATTCATCATATCAAGGGACTGCCCAGATTTCAGAATTAAAAAACAAAGTTCCACCACAGAACAGGAAAGAGGGATGCCCACCTCAAGACGCGATGGCGCAGAGGAAGATAAGAACATTACTCGTGTCAACAAACTAATGTATTCAGAAAAACCAAGCACATCTTTGTTGATCTAGCAGTTGAATAACCTACCACTCTTCAATGAATATAAATAAAATAAAACAAACTGACTAAACCCACAAACGGAATAAAACTAGATGGATGCCAGCAACAAATTAAGCTCGCCGTGTTTTACAAAACAGATGGCATCCCTTATATACCCCTGGGCATGTGCAAGACACCCTACATTTAAAAAATACAATAAATTTTGAGAACTTCACATAACGGTGGAACAGTTTTGAAAGCAAGATACTTTAGCAGGTGTTTCTTCATCACTTGACCATATGAATTCAAATACTACGTTAAAATATCTATTACTATTCCGAGACAACTGATGTTATGCTATTGTGTTTTGACGCAAAAGGCAAAATAAATTCAAAATATATAAAACATAAGAAACTCATTAGCTAGTTGTAAAAAATGGCACATGGGTCTTGCATAGGAACACTTTGTGCAGGTGTCCCTTGCCCCACTGATATTTGCAACTGTAGCTTACGTCATCGCAATGGTCCAAAGCTCTCTTTGGTTGGTTAAGTTTAGTAAGTGTTCTACCGCGCTCGCAACAGTATACGTCATATGAGCGCGCAAAACACAAGCTGGTGGCATTCACAACAGTTCACAGCACCTCTCTTGGGCACCAGGGGTCTGACAAATTTAAGGCCATCTACTGATGAAATTTCTAAAATCCATATATCCCTTAACTAAATATAGCAACGATGATATAACTATATTAGTCAGGCATCAAAGAATAAATTCAAGTAATTATTTATTATTCTAATCCCATAGTAGCCAAGCAAACATCCGCCATATTGGATAATTTTATCAAATTTCAAAAGCTATCTTCTCTTAGTTTTCGTCCATTGGCTTTCATTTTTAGTGATAAAGTATAATTATGGACTCTGCAAATATGTACTATGGACAAATAGCACCCAAAATAATTCCAAATTCCCAACAAAAACACTGGTCGTAATTTTATTTTCTTATTATCTTCAAAAAGGGCTCTATTTCAGTAAAGTTTTCCTATGGATATAAATTGTGTTAAAAAAATGAAGCCATTCAGATGAAAAATAAAGTAGAAGATGAAATTTAAAGTCGAAAAAATAAACATTTGAAACAAATGTAGAAAATATTTAAAAAACATGACCCAAAAAAGTAAAAATATTTTTTTGAAATCCATTTATAAAAGCGGTTGCTTGAAACGTTGAGGGAAAATGAAGATTTCAAAATGGAGGAAAAAAATGCATGGTCAAACTGGGTTAACATGGGGAAAATTTTTACCCGCAGACCCTGTGAATGTTTCATTAGTCTGTCCTCCATTCAAAGACACACCTAACAAAACAAAATTAATCAACAGGTCAAATTGAAAAAAAAAAACGGCTTTTGGGAGAGCGAGCACGTAAAGTGTGTGAGAGCGAAACTGTTCTCCGACCAATTAAATTTGTTCAGACCCGCATGAAAGCGGAGGGCTGGTGTAGCCATGGCGCAGCTCGGGGCAGACAAGTGACCCCTCTCTCGGGAGGTCTGCAGGAAGCCGGCGGGGAAATCCTCACTTTCTCAGGGATTTGACAAACTGCACCCCATCCTTGAAGAAGCCAGCCTGCCCATCCACAAAGTTGAGAAGATCGTCTTTGTCTCTTTTCCTATGGAGAAAGAGACCCGAGTGGGTATAATAGTTACTTTGCGCACATAGCAGTCTGAGAAATATTTATCAGAGTGAAAGGGAAGCATCCTGACATCAACGAGTGCATTGGAAAAAGGTCAGATGGGTGACAATAGAGAAACAAAGAAGGAATAGAAGAACGTAGAACTTGTAACTAGCATTCCCTCAAACCATTTATTTCTAGCAATACCACAGCTTTTTTAAGGGAATCCGCGATACTCGATCCCCTAGAAAATCGGGTATTTGCGAAAAAATTTGGAAATTAGAATATTTGGACATTCTTACAGAAAAAATATAAGATAAGAGATAAGATAAGATACATCTTTATTGTCCAGATTCTGGCACATTGGTTTGGTGTTTCACCATGTGTACACACACACACGCACACACACACACACACACGCACACACACATGCACGCACACGTAGGCTTACAATCACATGCATAATATAAATGAGCAGCAATATAAACAATAATAATCTTAAGATATACACATACTTATATACAAGATGGTAAAGATGGAAGCATTTTGATAGATGATGGTAAAAATGACCTTCTATATCTTTCTGTTACAGATCAGAAGCCTAGGTCTTTTACTCTGACTTATGTTTGTATTTGAGGGAACAAGGGATATTTGTTGACTAAAAAGATGGAATTAATTTTTTTAGTGCAAGCTGTTATGTACAATTCATCCAAGTAGAGGAATGCAGATGAAATTTTACATGCTTTCCGCATTAATCGATTAAATTTTTCTTTATCTTGTTGTCTTGGCCCCTGCTGTTACACAAAAATTGATCATACTTTCTATGGTAGAATGGTTGAATATGGACATCAACGTTTTATCAACTTTAAAATACTTCAGCTTCCTTAGAAAAGATAGTTTTTTGTTCACTTTTTTATGCAGGAGAGGAGTGTGGACAGTCTGACACTTGATCGATGTTTTCACATTTAATTTCCAGTAGCTGCAGGGGCACTTTCTTTATTCTAAAATAAACAACAAGTTCTTTGGGGGTTTTTCACATTTAAAAGCAGCTTATGATTTTCACACCATTCAGAAAAGTTAAGTACAAAATTCCAGTAATTGGTTTCGTTATGGTAAGCCTGAATTTGCCCAATGATGGTTGAATCATCTGCAAATTTTATCAACTTGATGTTACTGTTGTTTATTTGGCAATCGTTCATGTATAGTGTGAATAAAATTGGTGACAAAACACATCCTTGAGGGGCCCCTGTATTTGTGGTGATGTATGTCGATGAAGAATGTTTTAATTTTAGATACTGGGTTCAGTTGGTAAGAAAATTGCCTATCCATGATATTAAATTGACGTTAACACCTATGTCTTCTAATTTCTTTAAAAGGATAGCTGGCTGGATAGTACTAAAGGCTGATGAAAAATCAACAAACAGGATCCTACAGTATGCTTTTGGCTTGTCTAAGTGTCTATATATGTTGTTAAGAAATAGTAGAATGGCGTCTTCCACATTTCTCCCGTGACGATATGCAAATTGTAGAGGGTCCTGAATGAGTTCTATGTATGTTCGTAATCTTTTTAGCACAATTTTTTCTAGATAAGACATTTTATAACTACAGATGTTAAGGCTATTGGCCGTAGGTCATTCATTTCAGTAATTTTTTCTTTCTTTGGAAGGGGGACGATTTCAGAACATATCCAAATATAGGGAACAGCATGTGTTAACATCGACTGGTTGATAATATAGGTGTAAATAGAAATAAGTTGTGCTGAACACATTTTAAGAATTTTGGGTTGCACACCGTCTGGACCACACGCTTTTCACACACTCACACGTCCAAACACACATCTAACCTCAAGTTCTTCAACAACAACAGCATTAGTTTCATTTGTGTCGGTGTTCACATGGCAAGTCACATGAACTGCCTTTGTTAAGAATCCCTTTGTGAAGGTCCCAAGGCCTAAAGAGACCTCTAACATACATAAAAATGTACTTGAAAGCGGTAGAGGGAGGGAAAAAAATTCAAACATAACATCAGGAAATATTAAACTCTACCGCTTGACAACAACGCTTTCCGTGGCTGCAAGGTAATCAATTTGGTATCGTTGGAAAGGCCGTGATAAGAATTATTCGATAATTGCACTTTCGTTTTTGTACGGAACTACTCCCGGGACCCATTTAGGTATGTTTGAAGACCCCATTCCAAATACCAGTTACCGTGAATTTTCATTCGCCGAGCCGGCAGCAACGAAGGGTATTCCCTTCGCGTGCCATTGTTTACACTGCATGCCGCTAGACAGAACATGAACGATTTCGCTGCATTTCAAAGATTTTTCTATCGTGTTGCCGATTTCAACGCTAATAAATCTTGTTTACAAGCTGAATAATTATTATCATCTCCATTTACAATTTATTGTGGTATTTCGGCCCGACAAGGCCTACCAAACGCATGCTCTTTCTTATTCGTCTTCTCTCTTCTTTCTACCACCAGATCGTGATTGGTTTCGTTAATGTCTTTATCTTCGATAAAGCCGTTTTGAGCTAATCCAGATCTAAATCTAAACTATTGAGACTACAATAGCCTCAGTACTTTCCATGATTATATGGCTGGGGTATTCAAAGTATAGATTAGATCTACAGATCTCCGTTGCCTTTGATCAAAGTTATAGAGTCTAGGAACGGTAGTGGGATTTGTTTTGTTTTGATGGCTTCCCTAGCCTCTCCGGTTGCGCGCAGTGAACAAATGTGTGTAGATCTAGCAATAGAAATCTCTAGAGTCTAGTGTTATTTTATTTTTGAGTAGTTTTGATGATTCACTCAAAATAAACTTTGGGTAAAAAGTACTGAGTCTGTAGTTTATTTTTTATGAGACAAGAGCGTTAAAAAGGCTGGGACCTTGAATTTTTTGCTTCATGACCTTTTCTTGAACACAGATACACACTTTGATGAAGAAAAACAAGCATTTAACCAATAAATTTACATTTGGGTGTTGACCATACCTCCATCCCCTTAAAGATAGGAACTACTAGCCTATAAACAACACAGGTAAAAAGATCAATAATCCAGAAGTAAAATGCTTTTTACTTTTTCATTTTTCAAAATCAATCCATAAATAAAAGTTATGGCTGTGTAGGTGTCGGAAATTGCGGGTATTTCGGAGAAAATTCCTAGGATTAAAGAAAGGCAAACAACACCAGAATATTGAAAACCAACATTACACTATATAACTTTCACATTTATGAATTGAACGAGCTGAAAATTGGTGAGTTTGTTATTTGGGGCAACAAAACAGAAAATGGAAGAATTAAAGTTGTATTCTCAATACCTTGTTAATTATATGCAAATAAATCATTTTAAATGCATAATTATAGAAACATACACCAATATATGGCTTAATAATATATATGTTCATTTTGTTACATATGGACGTATACTAATCTGTGTTTGCAAAGAGACGAATTTAAGAATGTGACAAATAAGGTTTTAAAAGTGACTAATTATGCACTCATTTGAATATGCGCATAATTATTTAACCAAATTGTAACCTGTAACCGCTCAGAGAGTGGGAAACCAACAGGTTAATAAATAATATCAAGCCCAGTTTCTTTTAAAAAATTGTTTTTTAACTTATAACTGAAAGTATATATGCAAATAACTCAAATTGATTATGTGCATAACTAATCAATTACATAGTTATTTTAGCCAAGAGGATATGTTACCACGTAATGAATTTGAGGTGAAAATTTGCACATCTATATAAATGTTCACTTCTCCAAAATGCACGCTTCATTTTGCCCCAGATCTGTTAGAAGTATATCTATCCATCTATCCATCATTTCAAAAGTAACAAGTCTCATGTGAACAAAACTTGAGTGCCAATGTAACAACACATACAGCTAAACTCATAGATGCAATAAACATACGAAAAGCCCCAGTAACCAGTACATGTACCAACACATACCTCTTGACCTTTTCTTTTTTCTTTTTGATGCCTGCCCTGCGCTCCTGAAAGACAAAGAAAAAGATAAATAACGTGTTCTACAATTATTCTCCTCTGGAAAGTACCTTTTACCTTCCACTTTCTGAACATGAGACCGTATTATTGCTTCGAAATTAAGCCATCCCTTATACCGCCACCAACAAGCCCAGCAAGAAAGTTTTCAAAATACCACCCCAAAAAAAACCCCATTGACAAGCTTTGTAGACCTACTATCATCCCAACTGCTTGACTATACAACATTAAAGCCTGACAACAGAACTCAAACTGAATTCTAACAAATACAATAAGTCATTTGAGAACCAGGAACAACGAAATCATCTTCAATTCACAAATTGCAAAGTAAAGTACTGTCGAACCTTTTCTAATGGCCACTTGCATGAGACGATCACCAGTACAAATGGCCACTTTCAAGCATCCCCCCAACCCAAAAAAACCCATTTCAATGGCACTGTGTGAGACAGCGACTTTTTTCCTAGACAATGGGTGGCTGTCTAACACAACCCCGACTGTATGTACTTTAACAAAAGCACACTGTCCTCCACCCACTCTTTCCAACAGCATGCCCACTTACTGCCAGGAGTTCAAAAATTCTCTGGAGGGGACATAAGGGAACAAAGAACAAAATGTGTCTCTTTCAAGTTGTTCCTCTATTGTTTTTCAGAAGCTAGCACTGAACTAGTGTCTGTGGTGTAGCATTTATGACATTTTGCCATCGCACGCAAATTCCATTCCCAAGAGGGAACAATTTTTGTCCAGTATTTCAGCCTTTCTGCTGGGATGTTGTATCCCTCTCAGCCCAGGTTGGCCCTAACAGGCAGGGCCTAAGTCTATCTCCTAAATTGTTTCAGTGGGGGCATAAAAACACTCACATTCATTATTTTTCAGTTTTAAAAAAAAGCACTGACACCCACATAACATAAAAATTCTTAAGGGAGGCATTGCGCTGCCAAGAGCGAAATGCTCGCAGCTAAAGGGATTTGAAAACAACAACAACATAAAAATTCTTTACCATCTCCTCCCTTTCTTTCTCTTCCTCCTTTTTCTGCTTCAATATTTTCTGATACTCTTGTATGTGGTAGCGTTTCCCCTTAGGCCGCTGAAAATAGAAAACACATCACTCGTAAAGTGTTATGGAGAATCCAATGTATAACCTCAACAGTTTTCCACAAAGCTAAACATCCCCCCTCATCCAATCATAATGTGTTTGCGTGATATCCAACAGCTGAAGATGAAAAGTACGGAAAATTCTGCCGGGTGTCTGGTGGCCGCCAGCAGGGTCCAGGGACAGCGTCCCGTGGGCTTTCAGTGTGTGAAGCCCCCGAGGAAATTGAAATTCAGTGCCTTCAGAAGGTTATTTTTTGTGGTTTTTTTAGTAGAGGGTTTTACTGTGCCTGCAACTGCATAAGGTCATATGAGCGCCAAGGGGTGGGTGTTAACAGAGAAGTCTTTACAGGGAATCAGACTTCGACTATCAAGGCACCCCGGAAATAGCGGGTCACAAGAGTGTGACAAACATACAAAAGAAGTAGAGGAAAATGACAATAGTAAGGATTAGGAAAGAAAAAGCAGCAGTTCCCTGTCGTAGATCAGGCACAGTTATGAGCGTGACATGATGAATCAGCCCATTTACAATTCTACTGTGCTTTAACGAGAAATGTCCCCCCTTTGGGAATGGCCTACAGACACTACAGTCAGTGGCACTGCCCTGGGGGGGTAATTTAGAGGGTTAAAATTGGCATTTGGGAGCCTGTTTGAAGAGAATACCAACAATCCATAACACCTGTTTCTTTTTCGTCAAGATTATTGCTTAAACTCAAAAGTAGAGTAATAACTTGAATAGCTCAAGCAGACCTATCAGTGTGATAGTTGTAAGAACAGAGGGAGGGCAAGATCAGTGTGCAGTGACACTGAAAATCTGCCAATCTTGAACAGAAAGCTAAAATATGGTAATAATTTACTGTCACTATCACCCATCCAATAAAACACAAACACTTTAGTTCAATATTATAACAAGGCTTACAAGGTATGGAGGATCCTGATTCCACACAAAGCCTGCACCATTGCGCGCCTTGCAGAGAGCTCTAATCAAAATTCTAAACCCTGTTATTAAGTTGCCTTCAGCACACCCGAGTGAATTTTTTAAAAATCAATAATCCCCCCGAATACCGAATTTCTGGGTGGTAATGAAAGTGAAAGTAGATCTTGATTATCCCGATCGAATCTGTTTCAGTGAGTGTCACATACACTTCCGCCTGCCGCCATAGCCACCTGTTTGCGTGAAATGTACTCTCTGACCGAGAAAAGCCAAATGAACATCACAATCGTGACCGGCAAAATGATTTTACTGACCTATCTGATTTGGTTTTCAAATATTCGAGAACTTAATATATTTTCCCGGGTCTTTCCCAGGGCAGTTCACAGATTTCCTCATACTCCCTCATCAGACAGGTTCCTATAACATTAACCTATTGCCGACAGAATTACCGTAAATTTATGTGTAACTTAGGCCCCTATTTATACAGGTACAAGACGATATGATTGCGAGTACTGATCCTCTGCCCCAGAATCTCGGTAGCCCTACGCTATCGCACTTTTTAACGGATGGTGTTGATAATGATGGGGGAGCAAGTATAGAACTGTCAGGAAGTACGGATTTCCGTAAAAATACGGAAGATTAGAAGCTCTGGGTATAAGTTCAACATCCCTTCAACGCTGTAGGGCCATACAGACAAAACCACTGGCTTAACACACATCTCTTATTGCATTCAGAAAAGTGGACAGAGCCATGAAAACTTCTTCCACTATTCTAAGCCCAAGTATGTCCCATTGGGAATTTCAACCAAATTCCTCCACATAGTAGTTTTGTGTGATATATACTGAGATAACTATGGAACCCCCCCCCCTCCCCCCAAAAAACCCCCCAGACAAACAAACTAAAAAAAATTCCTATTCTGAATACGCAACAAGAGAAAAAAGACCCTCTGTGACAACAATCTCTCCCCTGCAGGTGGGGGGCCCCATAGTTTTACTATAGGGGAGCAAAGAATACACCTGCCGCGATACTGCGTGTCGTAAGAGGTGACTAAAGGAGCTTAGGTCTGGTCGCCCGAAAAGTGCCAGTTTGTGGAGGTCCAAGTACTCGACCCAGTAAAAACGGAAAGTAGAAACATGAACAAACACGCCTTATAATTTTTCCATCTTGGGAGACGGAGGAGCTTCTGTATCTACAGGAACAATGAAGGAAAGACAGCCGACAAAACCTTCAGGACTCTTCTGACCCGAAACCTTCTCTGTCGAATAAGTCTCTCTGGATAGCGTTGTCGAATGTTCACACCATGTATGAAGCACGAAAAATTTCCCAAGTGGCACAAGAGAAGAAGAGATACAGGCAGCACATACTAAGAGTCGGCGAAACCCACTGGATACAGTCTAGACAAAAGCAGCTCAGCTCAAGGAAACAAATATTGTATTCTGGGAGGGAAGACAAAAGCACCATGCGGAGGGAGTTGGAATTATTTTGAGTAAGTACGTATAGAAGTCACTTAGAGGATGGGAACCACAGGCGCAGAGAGGATCATCATGGCTTCATTCACTACAAGGAATAAAAGCATGTTGTTGTTGTTAGCGATCCAGGTAATAAAACACAATTCAGATCTACACCCCAACAAATGAAGCCTCAGGTGAAGACAAGGATGCTTTTACAACCGGCTCCAGGGGGTCATCAATCAACTACCAAGGAAGGATGTCAACATCATAATGGGAAATGCCAATGCCAAGATAGGTCAGGACAACAAAGGTTATGAAGGAATCATGGGACATGGCTTGAGGCAAATGAATGAGAACGGTGAGATCGACACAAGAAAAAGGAGTTTCAACTGCAGTTGAGGATCAGATTTCAACCCTTGGCGGATCTTGATGAGGAGGACAAGGTCGGAGGTGGAGAAGCACTGGACCAAGGTAAAAGAAGTCTTTACTTCAACATGTCAAGAAATACTTGGTGAGAAGAAATTGGAGCACAAGGAATGGATTAGCCAACGGTCATTGGACTTGACTAGCACTAGAAGACAATAGAAAGCAGAGACAAATGCAAGTAAAACAAGGGGATCAAAAACGGACGCACTGGAGCAGTACAGGACAACAGCTAAAGATGTAAAGAGATCACTGAGAAAAGACAAGGAGGAATTCACAAACAGGCTGGCTGCACTGGCAGAGCGGGCAGAGGAGGCAGCAGCAGGAGGGAACATGCGAATCCTTTACCAGACTGACTCTTTCTTGAAAATATGGGAAACCAGAAGTAACAGTAAAGGACCAAAAGAAAAAACCATTTTGGGAAAGGAAGCTCAGTAAAGACGATGGGTAGAGCATTTCAACAGTCTCCTGAACAGATCACCACCAAGTAACCCGACAAACATCCTGCCAGCAAGAAATGAGTTACCAATCTTCTGTGATGCTCCATCAAAATAAGAGATTATGGATGCCTTTGAGAACCTGAACAATGGTAAGTGGCAGGTCCGGATCAGATTCCACCTGAGACTCTAATAGCAGATGCCAATGTGACGGTAGACCTCCTTCTCCCGTTGTTTACCAAGATCTGGAATGAGAGCAAGTTCTCAAAGGATGGGAATGAAGGACACCTTGTGAAACTTCTTAAAAAGGGGGATCTCAGCAACTGCAGCAGCTACCAAGGAATCACTCTTCTCTCAATACCAGGTAAGGTCTTCAACTGAGTCATTCTGGAGAGAAATAAGTATGCAACGGATTCAAGACTTCGGGATGAACAGGCTGGTTTTCTGAAAAATCGGTCAACCACGGACCAGATTGCCACGCTGAGGATCATTTTGGAACAGTCCGTGGAGTGGAACTCCCAGTTGATCATCAACTTTCTTGACTATGAGAAGGCTTTTGACAGTATAGACCAAGCAACACTGTGGAAGATACCGAGACATTACGGAATCCCACAGAAGTTGGTTAACCTCATCAGGAGCATGTACGAATGGGACAAGTTACAGGGTTATACATGATGGCCAGCTCACTGACAGCTTTGACATCAAGACCGGTGTGAGACAGGGATGTTTACTATCACCTTTCCTCTTTATCTTGGCAATCGACTGGCTGATGAAGGAAACCACCAGAGGACACAGAAATGGAATACAGTGGACCCCATGGACACAGTTGGACTATCTGGATTTTGCAGATGACTTGGCGTTTCTGTCACACACCCAGGAACAGATGCAAGCAAAGACCACAATCTTAAACAGCTTATCAGAATCTGTTGGACTGAGGATCCACCCCGGAAAGTCATAAGTCCTAAGGGGAGATGCACTACAAAAGGAGCAGATCACAGAAGAGGGAAATGCACTAGAAGACGTCGAATCCGTCTGCTATCTTGGGAGTATAATTGACAGAGAGGGAGGAACAGGCGCTAAAATAAAGTCCTGTATTGGAAAGGCATAGACTGCATTTATTTCTTTGAACAGGATTTGGAGGACCAGGGATATCTCACTACGAACAAAGCTGAGGATTTTCAACTCAAATGTGAAGTCAGTCCTGTTGTATGGAATGTGAAACATAGAACGCATCTCCGAAACATTAAGAGGATCCAGGTTTTCTTGAACAAGTGTCTGAGGAAGCTACTGAGGATCAGATGGACAGACAGGATCACCAACAAGGAAGTATTAAGAAGAACGAGACACAGCCCAGTCAGAGAACAGTTGGGAAGAAGGCGTTGGCAATGGATTGGATACACTTTCAGGAAGTCAAGTAGCTGCATAACAAGGAAAGAGCTAGATTGGAACCCACAGGGTAAAAGATCAAGGGGAAGACCTCGTGGAACCTGGAGAAGAGCCACAGAAATGGATGTACAAAAAAGTGGGAAGACATGGAGTGACATCAAGCGACTCGCCCAGGATAGGGAAAAGTGCAAAGTGTTTGTTCGTGGCCTATATCCTGATCCAGGCTAAAAAAAAAAAAAGGCAATGACGATGATAACAATGTATTTTAAGGTTCTGAATACACAACATGCAACTGAACAACTCCTGAGCGCAGATCTGTGGAATCCAGCCTCCCTCTTTTTTCAAATCCGTCTAGCTTTTAGATGGGTTTTGCTCCATGAGAACTATTCTGTACACAAAAGTATTTATTTTTAAAATTACCTGACAAATTCATATTTTCTCACACCTATGTAAGAAAATTTACAATTAAAAAGAAACACTAAGCGTACAGTGGCATGCATAAAAACTCACCGAACATCTTCCCTATTCACAATAGTAGCAATAAAAAAAAATATTGTACACCAACTTCTCCAATAGTAAAACAACATGGATGGACATCCATGGTTTGAAGAACATGATCAAATCTTTCCTCCCTTCATCTTCCTTTTCTTTCTTGAATCGTTAGGTCCAAAGTCCAGTTTCCAAACTAACCTATGTGCGTCTTGTAGGGTGGTGCAGCTTACTAATCTCCCCACCCCCTTCCGAAAGAGCCCAATCTAAAAAGTAACTTCCATTTACCTTTGCTCCCAACTCTACTAACAAGTCCACCATAGCATCATCCTTCTTTTTCTTGTCGAAGCCATAGATCCCCAGCTTGCGGATTTCATGCTTCGCACTCCTCTGATCGAACACTCGCACCTTTGGCTCACGGGAAGCAGAAGGCCCATCCTTATGGTACTTATCTGTAGCCTTCCTTCCCATACCCTGAAGAAACAAAAGTTTGCCATGAAAAAAACAAAAAAATAAAAAGAGATACAGACAGAGAGAGAGAGAGAGAGAGAGAGAGAGAGAGAGAGAGAGAGAGAGAGAGAGAGAGAGAGAGAGAGAGAGAGAGAGAGACAGAGACAGAGACAGAGACAGAGAGAGAGACAGACAGAGAGAGAGAGACAGAGATTGAGACAGACAGCCCAAAGAAAGTCTGAATTGAAAGTAAACAAAGTACAAGTTATAAGGAAAGTCAAACACATTTTATCACTGGTTACAAAATACAGGGTTCGCACTCATCAAGAACAAGAATGTCTTTTATTTATAATTAAGTAAAGGTTTTATGAGATTTCTTTCATTGATCCTGTTTGAACGATACCGGTCTGAAACAGATTGATATAGATAATAGAATAGGGAAAACCATACTACAATTTTACATTGAGACACAACAAACATGTGGTACATAATCTTTCCACAAACAGTGAGTTACAACCATGCAGTCCATAACATTTTCAAAAGACAGATCCAATACATACTTGTGGAGGGACATCCCCCGATCTCTGTTTCCTTTTCTTCTCTGGGTTGTCAAAGACAACAACTTCCACCGGCTTCTTTTGAGTGGGTGCCATTATTTTTTTCCGTTAAGAGCTGCAAGAAATTTTCAGGACCTGATATAAAGACAATGACACAGGTTGGAAGTTACATTTAGTTCAGAACCAGATCTACATCGAAGAAAATATTCACATTCTATTTCTTTCAAATTTACAAAATATGACTTTCTACCAAAAACATGCACAAGTTGACTTAAGTGGCAAGGCTTTTTTGGAGTATTAAATTTCAAGCTGTAGCCTTCCATAAGCTCTCGGGTCAAAAGGAAAATTTCAGAGCTTGTAGGCCTATTTGGTTGCAAGTGCCAAAACTCTACTAAAACTAAAGTAAGAAATTAGCATTTTACATCATGCAATTACACTTGGTTCAACAGTGTTAGAATATTATCCTGTCACAAGTAGAGACCCTACTTGAGAAGGTCCTCTAAAATGTAGAGATTGTTATCTAGATCAAATCACAAAAAAACAATCCCTCCATTCTATGAAAAGACAAGAGACTTTTTTTATCAGGGCCACATCATGATAGACTTCTAGAATTTGAACTGTAGTAAAAATTTTGGCCAGATTCAACTTGGGTGGTCGCACAGTGTTTACATTAATGCGCACTGATAACAACAGTGGGGGGTTTTAGGGGGGCACGCCCCCCTACAATAATAATAATTTTTGTATCTATTTGGACTCGCGTCCAAAAATGGGTTTTTATCTATGGCCACCAAGGTGAGAATAGCTCAAGACCCGTTATAATTCTCACCCCCACCTTGGTGTGGGCATGAAGAGAGGACTTCCCCCTGACCTCTCACAGGCCGATAAAATCACCTATGTAGCTTACCGCATGCGGTTGGGAAATGACCCATGAGTGCTTGGCGCTTGTTCCTCATGTAGGCCAACAACTGATTACCGTTGCCATAACCTTAATTTGTTCTTAAAAATCAAATAGCCTTCTTAAAATTAGGCTACAATTGTGAGTACCGGTAGATATCAGATGCGTTCTGCTCTTGACATTTCGTTCTTAGATCTAGAACAGCTCGTTTTTTAAAAACCTGGGTTAGAACTTGAATTACCTACTAGGACTGTGTAACTGTGTCAAAAGTCAAAAGACTGCACTCTCATTGCCCAATGGCAGTGTCTACATACACGGTAACCGACAACTCAGAGTCTAACATACACGGTAACCGGCCCCATGGGGCCATTTAGACAGCCGTAAGAGGTGTATTGGAAAACTGTAAGCACAGAGATTTAAATAATGTGCGGTGTCCATGAGACACCTTCATCCCACCTGGCCGAATTTTTGTACCAGAAGATTTGGGGAGATATGGCCCAAAACAGACAGAGCTGGAGATCCTTTGTTGCTGCCCTAAACGCCAGATGGCGTAATGGGTAGTAAGTAAGTAAGTAAGATTTCGGGGGAAAACAGGGAAACAATTCTTCAGTCTGTGCTGTAGCACCTCTCTGTGTAGTACCCTGTGCCATAGAGGAGTAAGTTTAAACAAACAACATTTTCCAGAAGAAACGTTTTTAAAAACCCAGTAGAGTTAACAAATTTTTATTCTATTACTTTCGCGTTTTTCTTTGCGATTTTGTTCCTGCATAATTATTTTCCACCTGGCAACTATTTCCTGTAAAATACATCATGGCCGCCATGTAAACAGAAGGGGTCTAGATTCTTATAAGTACAGTGGAACTCGGATTCAACGAGGTCGCCGGGCACATGCCGTTAAACGTAGAAGACGCATCTTTCTGATTGGCTGCTAATTTTAGTAATATGTGATGTCATCTGGGATGTCATATGGGATACCCACAGACTATTTTAAGAAGGCCGTCGAGGTACCGCATAGAATGACGTGTTTCCGGTATGTTAACCCTGAAAGTGCGCAGGCCCTATAATAAAGGGCATGAGCCGGGCTACCCGCGAAGCGCGCACGCCCTATATATAGGGCTGACCTACTTTGACCGGGAAGCGCGCAGGCCCTATATAAAGGGCATAGACGCTGACATTTTTCAATGGAAAATTCCAGTATATATGGAAAATGATGTAGTCAATTACTGGTCAAAGTTATAAATAGTGACCAATAACTTTGCAAGTTATCTTGACCTCGTAGAGCGTCTCTTGGCCGATATATCGATCGATAAAGTGACGCGGTCCCGCTGATCGACTACACGCTATGTGTTATCACTTGTTTCGCCGTGCTGATTTATTAATTGTTGAGTCTATCGCGTTCTGGGCTTTGTTTGTATTTTATTTGATCGTTGATCATTTGTTAATGCTCTATCAGCTTGAAGAAAATATATGCTTTTATATGCTTTTTATCATCTCTGTTGAGCCGTAAATGGTAATTTTTCAGTAGCAGCGGGTATCTCAGCTGATTCCCCCCCGCCAAACCCCCATGTTTACAACTGATCGGTCGTGGCGGCGGGGCATTTTTGGCGGGTTACTTCCAGTGAAATGCTGAGCGCTTCTAGGGTTAATAACATTTCGGAAATCCAGTATTGACACCGTGTACGAATGTCAACAATTTCCTTCATTGACATTGAGACATTGACGGGTTTGAGCTTCCTAATTTTCCGGTTCACTGCATCTATTGAATTCATTCTTTGAACGTTTCCTCTAGATCTAGATCTACCGTATAAAAGAGACTTCATCATCGGAGCACCGCATCATATAAATAGAAATAATAATAGATAGCATTTGTATAGCGCATATCGCCGCTCAACAGCAGGCTCTATGCGCTTTACACTATATTATTACCCCAGCAGACCATAAAACACTCCGAAACATTCTCAGCTTCCCGGGAAGCATACAGTGCGAGCAGCCGATTAAGCGCTCAAACACTAACAAACTGACAAGATCTTTCGCTGTCTATAGCCGGGTACCCATTCCCACCTGGGTGAAGTGAGGAAAATCCGTGTAAAGTGCCTTTCCCAAGGACACAACGTCGGGCCCTTGACGGGATTCGAACCCACGACCTTACGGTTGCGAGTCCGAGAGCCTAACCACTAGGCCACCGACGCCACATATCACATATCCGTGCCGTATCCCTGGAAAAACATTGCACCTGAGCGCCGTGCCATCCCGTTGGCTACATTTACATATATATAATATAGTAGTCACATGATCAGAGGGGTGGTCCAGTCTGACTTCACACTAAATGGCCGCCTTACCTAAAAATAGTTTGCGTCCTACATTTCATCGCATGTTCGCCGGGCCTGATCTAAAATCTCGTTGAATCCGAGCAAACACGAGGTTTTGTGTAGATAATTAGGTGCTTTTTCGGTAGTTCCCACCCCCCTTATATTTTGAGCCTGACCTACATCGAGATCTATACGTTTGATGCGAGCTAAGATATCAAACCTAACAACTGCAAAACATCAAATTATGGTAAAATTCAGGGGGGCATGCCCCCCTGAAACCCCCCACCACATTTTTATTAGGACAGGGGGGCAAGCCCCCCTGAAACCCCCCTCTCCTTGAGGCCAAAACCGGTGAATAACAATTGCGGGGTGGGAACTACCGAAAAAGCGCCGATAATTACAGGCACTGAGCAAGTAGGCCTAATGTATAAAGAGAAGTCACAAGTAGTGCCTGAAATGCCTGCATAAATTATTATTAGCTGTGTCATCTCGATTGTTTACTACCAAAAAGTTGTTGACTGTAGTCTGTAGTCAAGTGTAGAACGGCAACTTTTGATTCCATTGACCAGCGCACAATTCATTACGTAGATCTATATCTAGATATAGATCTACGTCAAGATTAGCTTATAATTGTAATAATGATCAGTTGACGAGGGAAAAATAAAAAAAGTACACACAACGTCAACAAAGTCATTTCAATCACAAATCAAATACGCACACAACACAACGTTCACGTTTAACAGGAGGTCGCCATCTTACCAATAGCCGGAAGTGGCCGGAAGGAAAAGGAAATACTTGACCGGCCCTGGCAACCATTTGCCATTTATTTAGATCTAGGCCTAAGGACTAGGCTTTCTCAGAATCACCTAAGGACCAAAGAGAGTTTACAATAATAATAGGCATACTAGCCTAGGGGCTGTTCAAAATTATAATCTTACACCTGGAAGTGGAAGGTGGAAAGGGGGGGGGGGGGTCTTTGGCTCCTGTAAGAAATGTGAGAAAGGGGGGGTTGTCTTGAACCAGCGTAATATTACACTTTGTGAGGTGAAAAAAATAACAAGGAAAAAAGGGTGGCCTTGGTCAAGGAATGCTGCAAAGGCCAAGGCCAAAGAGTGTGCAGAGGCCAAGGGATGTGTAAAATATGTTCCAAATAGAAATCTAGCTGTCTAGGCCTATTGCAGTATTGAAGAGGCACAGCAGGGCTTTAGATCTAGATGTACACCGGATGGAATGGAGGAGGAGGAAGAGGAGAAAGCAGGAACAGGACCCAGATTTGGAAGATACCTCAGCAGATGCCCCTGGTTTTTTTCAATATTTTTGACATAGATCAAGGAGATTAGTTCTAAGCTCCTTGACATAGATATAGATCAGAGAAGGTTCACAGTAACAGAGAGGTGTCACGTGTCACCCCATAACAACAGTGCATTGTTTCGGTTTCGGGTATCGCGGGGCGCGAAAACACTTACGGGCCACGGGCGGTAACGGCTGCCACAGCAATGCTCTGGGATGCTGTCATGTCATGAGAAAATGACTGAAAATGTAGTGCCGTCTGTAGTTAGTTCACTAGGCTGAAAGGCCTTTAACAAAGAAGGAGGCCTGTGAATTCTGTGGCATATTTTAGGCAACTCCCTTGCCTCCCTCGGCCATAAACAGTAAGATTTGTTTTTGACTTAAGTCAATCTAATACCGGTATAAACAAAAGACGCAGATACATTACTTCGTCACTATCGATCTGAAAAGATAATATCACCGTAGATCTATAATTAAAAGCATAATCGGTTTAATTTTCAGCAAAACTATTCATTCTCCAGTGTCCTCTGCCCC